GGCTTCATTGGACTAAACCAAATCATAAGGTGAATGAGAGGGTCTCTCTTTAAATCAGCAGAAAATATTTTGCATTTGGTTTATCCTTACCTTCTATTTAAATTTAGTATTCAATTCCCTTTCTGTTTCTCTTTCACTGTTTAATGCTGCTCAGTTTTTAAAGAGACACTCTCACTCAGAAATGAATGTGACTATTTAAGTTAATAAAGACACAGCTAACGCTGTGTAGATTCAGTGCTACTAAGCTATAGAGAGATTTAAGTGATTTGTGACACTAAGAACATCCTGCACCTTATGTAATTTTATCACCAGAATTAAATAAGGAGGGGCCTGCACATGGTATCAGTTCTTGTGGGAAAATATGCTTCAGTGACTTACTGGCACTGGGTTTGGAATGTGGCATTTAAAAGTACCTTTTTACAGTGGGAAAGAATTTGGTCAAGAATAAACAGTCTGACCTTGTTAAATGGACCAAAGTCTGTGCATAACCCAGATCCAGAAAGCTAGTTTTTACCAGTTTGTGAGAAAAAAAAAAAAAATGAAGCAGTTAATTAAAAAATGCAACTCAGTTTTCTACAGACATAATAAAGTAGATGGAACAGAGCCAAAAGAATTGTCATTGAACTGTGGACTTTTCCAGTTTGTGGGAAGTGAGCTGTGAGCTTTAAGCGTATTTTGAACTGGAGTTCGAGAGGACATTAAAAGCAAACAGCATCATGGATTGTGCCCAGATGGATTCAGGTCTAGTGAGTGATTTTCAATGCGTATCAAATCCACTTATATTACCATCAACATTGGAAAATGTAAAATCCATGAATTTGCAGGAAAATAATTCATCATATGAACCGCGTTTTAAACATGAAGCCTGGTGTCTGCAGGCGTAGTCAATTGACTAGCAAAAATCCTTTAGATATCAATGAAGGCAAAAAAAACCCTCCAAAACACATGGAGCAAAAAAATTACTTCTTTTTGGTTTTAGCTTCAAGCTTGGTTTAGCTTTAGCTTTTTGCCGAAGGTGAACCATCACACTGTTCTTGAATCTCCAGGGCATGAAATCCTAGCTTCGGTGCAGTCAGTGCCTATAGCTGCACTGTGGCCAGGTTCTCAGTCCAGGTTTTCATATTCTGTTTGGGAAATAGAAGCACTTTCTTTGAACTGACATTCAAACTGCTTTGGAGGAGTGGAGTATACTGAGAACAGCAATGACCTTCAGAAATCGCGTTTGATGTACTCAGGTCAGGGGCTTTTACTACAGACTTCCCACAGGTACTTTGCAGAGTACAGACTGCTTTTTTTTTTTTTCTAGTGTTAGCACAACGGTGTCATAATAGCAAAGTAAGCTTCTCAAGGCCTTGCAGCTGATTCATTTTCAATGAGAGAGTGAATGAAAAGTTCTGTGGCAGCTCAAGAATATGAAGAGGCATTGAAAGACGTTAAGTAATACTTGAAGTACATCATTTAAAAATCAGAGTAGCCAAGTGAGATCCACTACCCCAGCATTCAGTGCTACATAAAACGTATCCATAACTGCAGTTGTCAGCAAAACTAAAATAGTAACATCTCCCCATTATTAAGTGAAGTTCAAACTGAACTGAAAGATGTGACAGATTAAAAAGCTGCACTAGATAAAATAATTATAGAAAAAATGCATGTTTGTATCAGGTAAACACAGATTAAAAATTAGAAAGTGCACACATTGTGTTTTGACAAGTTTGGATAAAGAATTTGTGTTAAGCCAGAAAAGAAGAAAGCCTCTCTCAATATAAACACTGTTTTCAGATTTTTATAGTCAATGTAAACATCTTCTAAACTGCGCCTGAGTTTCCTGAGTTTCTCGCACTACTTTGTGTTTGCAACATCAGCTATATATTTACCCTGCAGAGAGTTCTGGAGGCCCTAAAAGGGGTGGAGTTCCCACCCTGCTATGAGAAGTCTCTGTGCACATTCTATGTATAGCCACATTCGACAGATTGACTCCTGCACTATCAAACCGTCAGGTCCTCTGACTGAAAGCAGGAGTCATACACTGCTAACTCTAGATGTGTGCTAATTCAGGTTTATCCCCATTGCTAGCATTGGACATTACCACAAACTCACAGAAGAGCAACAATAAAAACTCCTGTTGTTGGAATTTGCAAGCAGTGATACCTTTTTCCCCGAATTTTGCTTTTTGTCCTTAATCTGTATGTATAAATGTTCTCATTTCCCTTGTATTTGGAGTGGATTACATCATCCAGCTCTGCCCGATAGCTCCATCCCTCACCTTTACAGCGAGCTTTCTTCATCAGTTGGATTCTCCAGGATGGCATTGAGGAATTGCTGTTTCCACTTCTTCACATCATTGTGCAGAAATAATAGTATGCAAGCACCAGGTTGTCTGATTTATATTAGATTAATAACATGAATAACTCAACAGACGATAGCTGTAATTAAACCCAGAAGTCTGAAAAGAAAGCATGACTGTGTGACAGATGATACAAGTTTGTTGGGTCTAACATTTTCTTCTGAAGATTCTCTACTTGTTCTTTCATGTGTGGAACCCGTTCAGAGATGAGAGTGTCAACCTCTCAGTAATTTCTAGGTAGATGCATTCTGAAGTGGAGAAGGGATATCCTTCAGACCTGACTAAAAATTCATTTCAGGACTGAAATATCCTGCTCTGAATACTGCTTTGGGAATTCCCAGAATTATATGTTTGTGTAAGTGCGTTGTCCAACTGAGGAGCTCAGCAAAACTGTTCCCTCCTGCATGATTCTGCTGCAATCTTCTGGAAAATTGCTTTTGTGAATTGTGTACGTTTATGTGTGGACTTGGAACAGTATTGACACTGCAAAGTATCCCCACATTTGTCCAGCAGAACTGAAGTTGATGGGCTGTAAAGATGACAGAATCCTGTCGGGTTAAGTTCATTTAGGGAAACTACAGATTTATTTTCTGACATCAGGAAAGAAATTTCTTACAGCTAAGCTTTTGCTGTCATAATTCCCTCAGCAGAGAATATTCACTTTTAAGATCCAGAACATCACTGTGATAAGGGCTGTACAAATTTCTAGTATTTTTTCATAGCCTTTTTTAAAGATCTTTATCACATTGTATGTTTATGGAGAAGTATTGTATGTTTCTACTATGATAAATTCCTAGTTACTACATTAATTATTCTTAGTTGATGAAATGCTAATTCTAATCAAGGATTTTAACTCTATCACCTAATCCTCAGGGGAAGGGAGATTCTTGGAAGATCTTCCTGCTATGTTATACAGTATGTTACTCCCCTGTGATGGTTGTGAATGTGTAAATTATGCATACTGTTCTTCATTCTTGGGGTATTATCCTCTCAGAAATGCAATTTAAATTCATTTAAATTAAATTTCAGGGTTTTTACATTGTCATTCTAGCTTATTTGGTCAGGAAGTGAAAATGAGGAAGGAATTTGGAGATGTAGGAGGAGCTCGACTGCTGTTTTATCCCAAGTGTCATAAATATACTTCAGTAATTTTTAAAATTGCACTGTTCTGGTTAGAATAAAGAGCATCCTACTTCTTTATTTCCTGCAAACGTAGTATATTTAATGGCACATTATGCATACCTTACATATTGCCAGCTGGGAGGCAGGAGAGCAATAAGAAGGTGAGGAGGCAAAAGAGGACAGGGACAGTCAGTGCTTCATCAGGGGAAATGCTGCCATACAAATACAGTGTCAGGGATTTGTCACTGTTGGTTTTTTCCTCTGTTTTTGTTTTATTCTTCTTGTTTTTGTTTATTTATTATTGTTTCTTGTTGGTCTAGGCCAACAAGAAAGTGTGTTTGAGTTCTGCTGCTTTGCACTCTGGACAGGCGATGTTTCTTTTTTATATGCAAGCAGTTTATTTGCCACATGGCAGACGTTCTTTCCTGGTGAAAATGTGAAATATTATACCCCAAATTTGCAATTAATGTGACAAATGACATAAGTTCTGTTCTTTTCTCTGCTAACGGTGCTTTGCAAACAGAATTGTTCCAATTCAATTATGTAGTATTTTAAAACTAATTACAAGACATTCCAGAAACCTTTAAAAGTCCTACCTTCATTTAAGGCATTGTGGCTTGCCTCATTATCTTTGTGCCCATGTGGCCTTAGACAGAAAATCTTAATGGTGCTTTTCCATTTTGATGATGGCTTTGTGGATGAACTAACCACTAACATCTACGTTGATCACTTACAGACTTAACATGGCAGTATACCTTATTTAATAAAAGGAAAATGAGTGAGTTTCGGTAACAGTTTCTCAGTTGCTATAGAAACCATAGGATACTTGACTGCTTTTGGACCCCTATCCTTTGATATGCCAAGTGGTTTCTGTGAGGTTTTTAATGTTCTCATCAGCCACTGAACCTGCAGTCAAAATCAGACAACGAGGACTTCAGTCCTGTGACTTGAAGAGAGGCAGTTTCTAACTTAGCTTTACCTACTAGAGTTACCACCTATTCTAATGGGGTTTCTTTCAATGGCCTGCAGCAATGAAGACGTATCCACGCAGAAACCAGGGCCTCAGCTCAGTGTGCTGCAATTAACTCATATGGTGAGACCTACATCCTTAGATGTTTTGTTTGGCAATCAGTTGCACCTGAAGAATTGTGGGGAGCAAACTTTTATGTCATGTCAACTAGTTCAGTATCAGTCAAACCTCAGCTGAAGGAAACGGCACCATTTTCCAGGAAAGCAGAATTGCCCACACAGCAAAAATCTGTTATGACACAGTATTTTTAGTCATAAAGTGGCCTTGGTGTGAAAGGGAGATTCAATTAGATGTCTGTTGTGTTTTCAGATGCAAAATTGCTTTGTATTCAATTGATGGTGTGAGTGAGTAAGAGCAAGAAGCAGATGCTTTAACGGCATATAGATAGGAAGAATTTAATTTCTCCATTTCTTTTATAACTTATATTATGCTCCATGTACCAGAGTAATTAATATGTGAAGTAAAAAGTCACACACATGTTATGACCACGAGGATTTCCCAATATTCAGGGGTGCTGGTACCTATGTGTTACTCCTGGCACCTTCCGTGTCCCAAAAAACAAGCAGAAAGGATGGGGAATGGAATAGAATCATGAAGGAAAGTCTTTTTATTTTCTTCTTTTCACGTGAAGGTTTATAATTAAAGGGGAAAGTAAATTAATTACATGAATATTAAAAGGTTACTCTTCTATTCTAACATTTGGTCACAAGTTGTCTAATGAAAAGGAATGCAGGCTGGAGGGCTGCCATGCCTTTGCTTCTTTCTGCAGAGGGCCACAGGCTGAAGCAGTGATTGTGCGTGACAGATTCTGGGAACAATGAGCCTGCGCACAGATTATCCAGATGGAGCATGCTTTTCTAAATTACACCAACAACAGGGTGGCCCACAGGCAAACAAAATAGTTAAACAATACATAATAAAGTTTTTATTTGGTATTTCCTGTGAGCCTCTGCCAGTTGCCAGGGAGTGTACTGTATTTTTCTTTTGCTGTATTAATTGTTGACCACAACTGGCAAAGACCCAAACTACCAGGGACAGATAAGGGGGGGAAAATGGCATCTGGACACTAAAGCCTCAAGTGTACTGGGAAAAAAAAGCACAAAAAATTACAGCATATATCTGGAATTTTCCAACTAACGATGTGCGGATGTGGTAGCGCTAGGGAAAAAGAGCCAAACTGAGCCTGCTTTGTTCACTAAGAGAGGCCCCCCTGTAACATTCCTTTTAGCTGTGCATATTTTGGCTTCAGTTGTGCAGTTTTAACTATATACTGTGTATGGAGCAGTTCAGTTGTTGCTGCATGAATTTAATGATTTTGTTACGAGAAATAAAATGCTGTCAGAGCATGTGAATTTTTGTTGAACTTCGAGATACATAAATAGAGGCTGTGTTTTAAATGTTAAATTATAGGTGTTAAGTTTTCAGAGGAAAGAGGGAGAAAATTTCATTAAGTACAAGCCATCGCTGCAACAGCTGCAAGGAGGAGACCCTCAGTAGCAGTGAATGCTGCCTTTTTGAACTCATCAATGAAATCAGTCCTTACCGTTATCTGCTTTAGGCAAAAGCCCACAGTATAACATTAACACTTGGATAAAAACAGGAGGTTACATAAACATGCAAGTTTGATACTGTTTTTCTATTACCTTTGTCAATATAAACAGTTTAGGTATTGGCATCTTTTTAAGGAAGTTTTATACTCCTGATTTACTGTACACAGTGTTGTGATTTTGTTATTACTAGAACACAGCAGAGAATAAACAAGAGCAGGTTGCTGTTATTTTCTTCTACAGTTCAGATAGCCTTGCAGGTATTATTAGGCAGCTTCTCCAAAGAGGATGGGAGTTGATGTGGAAGTCGCCAGTATGTACAGAGAAGAGAAGCAACTGCTTTAGGCAGTGACGGGGTTTGCAGCTACAGCAGGTCCATACTTCAGTTGGTGGGAAACAAATTCTTGTTGTGAGCTTTAACTGTTATAGATATTTACTGCATTTTTGGATATACTTGGACTGTCCCTTAGTCACCAGCAACCCTTGTTGCCTTGCTTTCAGTTCCAACTCACATGCTCGTTCTGGCGTTAAGTACTTTGTTTTTTCTTTGTTTGTTTTTTTGGTTTTAGGGCAGAGATTTTTGTGATTGGTTTTAGCTGCAAAATATGGAAGTCATCTATTCCATTATTTCTTTTTACATGTGCAGTTTTCTCCTGTGAAAAAAAGAAAAGCATGTGAAAAAAAGTAACTTCTTCACTTGGTGTTCTTTTCATACGCGCAGTGCTTATCAACAGTGCTGAAACTATAGATCAGTAACATAGATTTCTTCAATTTGAGCTTGCAGAATATCTGGTGTAGTGGCTGACTGTCACAAGTAGCTGATTATACTAGAAGGAGGCAGGACACATTGCCAGTGGATTTCCCAGATATTAGCTCCCATTCATCTTCCAGCACACTACTACTGGTATATTTTCCCTTCAAATCTGTTTTCCTGCCTCTCCTCCAGCTCAGTCACTTTTATCAACTAAATCTAGTTCCCACCCCAAATCCTCTGTGGAGTTTGCCCTTCCACTGGTACCAATCATGCCCATTATCATCTTCACTATCATTCTGGGTCTCAGCTTCAGGCCTTCTTCATCAGCCCCTGTCTCCTCATAGAGCTTTTTGTGGATCCTAGTCTCATATGCCTTATTGGTCATTTTTCCTTCTTCTTCTCTGGATCACTAATAGTCTTCTTTTTCAGTGAGTGTTATCTCTCACGCACATTCCCATCCTAGATTGCTCTTTAACCCAGCAAACAGCTTACATACACTATTCCCCCAGTCTGTCCAGTTATTTTCATCTCTGCTGCTGAGTGTGATAGGTTCTCCTTCAAACATGGGTTAGACCGTTTTCAGAGTAACAAGCTTTCTGTGCAGTCAGAAGCTTGAGATACCGTGATGGACCCTCAGCTCCCTGCAGCTGAACTCAGGTGTGCTTTCTTAAAAGTAAACTTTCTGAAAATACAATAATTATGCACTGGTATAAAACCTTACTGAGCATGTGCTCTTTTTCAGATTTATGACATGGCCAAATTTGCATCCAAGTCTTACAAGGATGGTGTAGAGGTCAAGTTCCACAGCCTTTGTTTCAAAACATGGTGGCACCAGAGCTTCTCAGAAAGAAGGTGACTAGAATTTGAGATGGACAAACCAGTTGTGTTTACCTAGCCTCACTCATGGAAATTTACACAGAAATATTTTTTAATCATTGAAATCTTGGTAAAGTTGTAAGCTGCTTCAGTAAAGGCAATGGTGTCAGCTACCAGAAGGAATGTGGAAAGTTAGGAGAGTCTCAAAGTGATTCTGATTCCTTCTGTAGAAGCCAAGGTGCCTATGAAAATTGATTCTTTTTCACTTGAAAGAAACTGTGTTTCCAGTCCCTAATGGAATCTATCAATATAATTAATGCAAAATTAGGGACATCAATTGGTCACAAGCTGCCAATCTGATATCAAAACACTACATCATGAATAGAATCAGTTGAAAGGCAGAGATTAATATAGCTTAATACTGTTCACTGGCAGGCATGAAACTTCCTGAGTACTATTGAAATCAGTAAGCGAAAGCAGGTCTATGCTCAGTAACATAACCGTAAAAATATTGAAATTGCTTTAGAAATTGTCTTTAAAAGTCATAATTTTCATGTAGTCATAGAATTCTTTGGGTTGGAAGAGACATTCAAGATCATCTGGTTCTAACCTTCCTGTCATGGGCAAGGACATCTCCCACTAGATCAGGCTGCCCAAAGGCCCATCCAACCCAGCCCTGAATGCATTCAGATATGGGCCATCCACAGCTTCTACAGGCAACCTGTTCCAATGCCTCACCACCCGCATAGTGAAGATTTTTTTCCTTGTAACTAATCTAAGTCTACCTCAGTTTAAAGCCATTGCCCCTTGTCCTATCACTACATGCCTTTGTGATAAGTCCTTATCGAGCTTACCTTGTGCCCCCTTTAGGTACTTGTAGGCTGCTTAAAGGTCACCCTGGAGCATCCTCTTCTCCTGCTGAAAAACTCCAACTCTCTCATCCTGTTGAAAATTTCCTTTCCATTCTCCACCCGGCTTGTATTAGAGCTTGGATTCATCCTGCCTCAAGTGGACAACCTTGCACTTGGTCTCATTGAACTTTTTGAGATTCACACAAGCCCACCTCTCAGAGCTGTCCATCCTTTCCCCCCAGCGTGCCCACTGCACCACAGAGCTTGGTGTTGCTCAGAAACTTGCTGAGAGTCCACTCAGTTCCACTGTCCATGTCACTGAGAAAGATGTTCAGCAGTACTGGTTCCAGTACCAACCCCTGAGGAGCACCAATTGTTACCAGCCTTCATTTGACCATAACTCTTTGAGTGCAGCCATCCAGCCACTTTCTTACTCACTGAGGGGTCCATCCATGAAATACCTCTCTCACCAATTTAAAGACAAGAATGTCATATGGGACATTCTCAGATGCTTTGTACAAGGTCCAAGCATATTACATTTTTGCAACCTAATGAGCTATTTTTCAGCATAAAGTATGTAACACTTCACTGGAAGTCAGATTAATTAGAATAGGTTTCATTTCCCACAAGTGCTTTGATTCCTTGTCCAGTCAAAAACTAGGCAAGCCTTTGAAAAAGGAGCTGATTTATATTTTACTTATTCTGGGAGTGGTAAGTAGTCTGTTCTGTACTTGTATGAGATTTACATTGGTGCCTCACATGTGACCTACATCATGTACATGACATTCCTGTGTATAGTATTTCCTTGTGAACTGTCATCCCAGGACCTAGAGACAGGAATGGCAAGATAGTTAAGAGAGGTCATCTACAGTACCTGACATTATTGTTCAGGTCTAGAATTGTTTTAAGAAGTACTATTAGTCTCCACATAATTACTTTCAAGGCATATTGCCAGACTAACACTTCAGTTAATCAGAAGAAGCACTAAAGTCCTCTCTTATTTTTGCTGCAACTGAAAAGATGTAAAATCCATTGTTTTACCATTAGTTACACCGTTTCCTTGCTTTCCTTTTACTGGATTATGCTAGAAGAATTTTTTATCCTTGTTCCTATTTCATTTAAGTTTCACTTGCAGATTTTCCTGCAGTAGCCGAAAACAAAACAAAGTTTAACCAATATTTAAAGTTGCTTTGTAAATGAAATTTTAAGAAGACATCTTTTAGGCTTATGTTTTACAAAACCTTCATATTACAAAACTAACTTGAATCTAAAATCAGCAGTATCCTTCTAATAATCATCCTACTGCCTATTCTTGTAAACTCCTAGTGTCTTACCCTAATAATTTTAAACAGCAGTAATATTACCTCATGATATTAACAAAACAAAGAAATCTAAAATAATTCTTTGGCTTTGATTATAAAAAAAGACTTTTTCCCTGCAGACTGCCATTTTCCAAGAAAAGCAGATAGTATTTATTATATGTAACTGTATCCTCTGTAGAACACGTAGGATATTTCTGATTTTTTGTCTCTAAGATTACTATCAAAAATAATAACAATTAAAAACAAAGATAGAAATGATTCCACTGCTGATGTCTTCCTCTAACACCCAGAGCTCCCACTGAAATCAGGCGAAATTACGTGTGTGTTTCACGTCAGAGTACAGCTTTTTCTGAGCTTCTAGTTCGCTTGTTTAACACACAGACTGATAATATTGGCTTTCTTTTGCAAGGCATTTTTACCTTATAGAAATAGGTGAGTTTCTCTCAGCTTGTTGTAAACCTTCCATATCTTTAAGTTTAGACCCTTGGACCATGTGGCATCGTTAGGGACTGGTGATCCCAGTGCCATATGCACGTGGGCTTGTTCTCTCTGCAGGAGCTCTGGCTTCTAGCTCTGCTCCCCTCTTCTCAGTGTCCGCAGAGTCATGCGCTGAAGGATTTCCTGGCCACAAAAGGATGTTATTTACAGGAATTCCTCTGAAAGTTCATTAAAGAGGGGAGGATATTGATGTCGCTGACAATCGGCTGTTAATTCTGTGTAAGTATTCTGGAAGTGGCAGGTGCTCTTAATTCCTTGCAGAGATTTTTGCATGGGATGACTTTCTCTGTACAGATCTTTGTGTGGAAAAGGCATGGGCAGGAATCATTGTGATGATGGAGAAACACATAAGGACAACAAAATTGATTTTTCCAAGGCAATGTAGTCAACTGGTGGCAAGGTTGATGTTATCACAAGGGCTCTTGGCTCCCTATCTCAGACCATTAAAACATTTACACCAGCTCTCTGAGTATATTTTCCATTTGATTTATTCTTCTTATTCAAGGATGGATTACATATTAAGATAACCAGATTTGAATGCCTTTTTCACATGGCTATTTTTATTTTTTTCTAAGTATTCTTCCAGATCCATGAGTAATTCACAGGGCAGAAAAAAGGGCTGTGACACAGGAGGAGAGCTCCTGAATTTTGTATTTTCCATTCTTAAGCAAAACCTTTTAAAGTAGCAGGTCTACTTTCCATTCTGAGTGCTCCCATGCATATCAGCTGGTCTTCAAATGTCATTCCTCCCTGAGGAATCCCGGCAAATATCTGATTGGATATGGAGAGCCAGAACATTTCTGTGTAAATTGGATGTTTGTTTCTCTCAATATGCTCATGTTTCACAATCCCTGTGCCTATAAAGGATGTCCATTGCCCAAAGCTGGAAATGTTCACTTTGTAACATGCAAAGCACAGCTAAACCCAGTTCTAGATTATTAAAAATACCAGTCAGTGCAGCAGCACAGATAGCAGATGCAGCATGTGTGTGTTAGTCCATGCTTCCTTAACCAGCACTGAAATCAGAGTCTTGTCAGTTGGATACCTGGAAGTAAGTTCAGACCTTCAGTGAAACTGTTTCCTCTCTAAGGCCTCTGTGCAGACAGTGTACAAGGGGTTAACAAGGGAGCTACTCTGAAAACAGAGGCAGAAGGTCACTGGCGGCAACAGCAAAGACTCCTACAGCCTGCCATGGAGAGCCTTTCACCCGGCGTTTCCCACCCAGGGGATTGTAAACATTGGCTCATGGCCATGGCGTCCTACAGAACTTCTCTTTACTTTCAGCACATACGTTTATACGTCTTAATGGAAACTGAAGCACAGCAAGTTATTCCCACATGTCCAGAAGGAGAGAAGGAGCTTCTGTTCAAATTAAAGAGATGAGGGAAAGAGCCATTACTCACCCTGGAATTTGAAAACACAGAGATACGCGTGTTTAGTGGTACTTCACATGTAACATAGCTGCTGTTCTCAGGAAAACTTTCTCAACTCACTGGAATGTGTAGAATGCTGTCACTTCATCAGGATCCAGAAGAGCTCTTTTATCTGCCATTTGTTAGCAACTAGCAATATTGTTCTTATCTCGTTGTCCTTTAGCCTGATGCAGTGCCCTCAGACACGAGAACTTGTAAAATGAAAGCACTCATTACCTTGAACATTTTTTTTTAATTGTCTTGCTATTATCTCTCTAGCTTAAACAAGATGCTTTGTATCAATTTTGAGAGAGGTGAATGATCTGAAAAAAAGCTTCTCTGCAACATCATTTTCACAAATACAACATTGTATGTTTCTATAAGACCATAACCACTATGGAGTAGAGTCTTTAGTGACCTAGACTGAGTCAGATATTTTTTACCCAACCTATCTATGCATAATTATTTCCCTAAGGAGAATGATAATACAAGCTTTAATGTTAAGAATGGGAAATAAAGCCTTACAAGTTGTAATACTGGAGCAATTGCAATATTCTGTTTTACTGCTAAATTTTCAGAATCTTAATTTTAGTTTAGAAAGTCCTCTAGAATTTACAAATGGAAGAAATTTTCTTTTGTGTTCTTTGAAAAAATTGAGCTTCTCTTTGTACTGTGAATCATAATGTTTGGTTAGTGAGTGATGTATCAAGTAACAAGGGAGGAGATGTTGCTTCTTCCTTCACAGGATAAAGTGGAGTGCCATCCTCTAGAGGTTTTATGAATCCCATCTGTTAGAGTCAGAGAGAGAGAATACAATCTGTCCAGATCCAGAGTAGACTCCAGCCTGGTTAATGTAATTAATGCCTGCTTTTATTTTTATCCAGTGATGGTCTAATGTAAAATGCATACACATTACAGAGAGTAGTTATCCAGAAACTCGGCTCCTCGCCCCCTCCAGCTGATTGTCCTTAAGCTCTCGGCTACTTTCAGGCAGTCTTGCCCCATGACTCATATACTCCTGGCAGAATGGTGACTTGGCTTGAGCAAAGGCGAGGAAAGAATTGTCACCCAAAAAAACCCTGGCCTAGTGGTCAAATTATTTTCTTGGATGTAGGAGGTGCTTGGTAAGTCCCCTTCAGGCTGAGTTTCCACTTTGAGATTAACATAAAAACATCTGTAAAAGATGTTAATGTAGATGCAGACATGTATTGCTTCTATCACCACTCTTAGTCACAGCCTTCCCTAGGTGGGACTTCTGTGGAGAGCATCCAGGTATCTAGGGTGCTGTCTGCCTAAATATACTTCACATGCAGTAGAGCTATCTGTTCCTGCAACATAGGCTTTTTCAATTATGTGATCAGCTACTGTAAAGACTCACAGACACATTCAGATTAGAAGAAGAGGAATTTAGCCAGTAAAGAAAGCTTATAGATTTGGAAAATCAGTGGATTGTGCCCAGTGTTTTTGTGGGTCTGCAGTCTACAAAGCTATTCAATATTGAGATTAAAATACTCTGGAGCCTCCTCTTACCCTTTCTGTGAAAATCTTCCTGCTTTGCCATGAAATTATAGGCCTACAGCAGGTCCTTGTCTTGGCTGTGGTCATGTATGTGTACATCAATATGTGTACCTATCCATATGTTACACCTGTGTATGGAAAGTTAATCTTTTTTGAAAACCTTTATGCTTCCAAACCCCATTTCTCATTTGTTTGTAGAAACATATTTCATGAGAATTTTTGTTTCCTCAAACATTATTTTGAAGAATCTTGTTTAGTTCCACTTCTAATGTATCATATACACCTCTGCTTACTTTAATTTAAAGCCATGCATTTATTGAGACTTAAGTAAAGATCTACCACGTTCAATTTCAGATGTAGGACAGATTTGCGGTGTTCAGAGTTGCCCAAATTCTTAATACTGCAGCTGTAGACAGGTCCATCTTCATTGTCAGCTGTCATGGTGATGATATGATTGAAGTTTGCACCCTTGCAAAGCAGTGAGAACAGAGGCATCCCAAGAGGAGCTTTTGTTGCAGAAAAGCTCTTTTGTTTGCAATCCTGGGTTCTTTGGGGGGATTGCTGTAATATAGGAGGTTTAACTGTAAGCTATTGCTTCATTTGAGTATCATTGACAGATGTTGCTCCACCAGCCATTTTATCCTATCATTGGTACTTTGCCTCCAGGCTCTTACTTAAGCCTTGCTAGAGCCTTTATCAGCAGCAGCACAAGTTTACATTTTTAGCAGGGGCATCACAGCACCAATCTTCTTCAGAGAAGAAGGGCTGTGTGGCTGCAGAACACTTCATAATGTGCTAGAAGATCCCACCATACCATGGAATACTAATGGGGAAAAATTACAACAATTAGTGTCATGGTAAATGGATATGTCTCATAGGAGTTGATAGGACATAGCAATGAACAGAGCTCGAAGTGACAAAAAGAATTTTTAATAGTGATATCTAAAATGTAGTTTCGTTATAGAAAAAGTAATATGAAATCAGTTTTATAAATTACCCAGAAAAATTTCTTAATTTTAGGTGTGCTGGAGACTACTCTTGTCCAAATCAGACTTTAAGGAGAAAAGACATTTGGAGAAAGATTAATTGAGATTAAGTTTATTTTGCCCCTGTTACACATTCTTGATGTAGACTAGGTAAGTACTTAGCAACTAACCTGCAGATGCACACATGCCCTCTGCACACACTGCCAGTATGCAGGCAAGGTACAGCTTTCTTAAATATGCAGTGACTGTCACTATTTGTATCCTTACTTTCCTTATCAAGTCTTGCCATTAGATCAAAGCACAGCATTGGTTTATAAGTTTCACTCTCAACTGAATGAAAACTGCATCTTGTGGAAGGTTCTTGCAGCAAATCTTCCCTCTTAAAGAGTCCCAAACTAGAAAACTTTTCTTAATAACAATATATAATAATCCCAGTTCCTACTAGAATTCTTTGTTAAAGTAGCACGCAGTGGTTATATATGCCTGTAAACGGTATGGATTCTTTCCTTCTTTTTCAAAGTGACTCATTTATTCAAGCCATTTTTGATGTTATTTCATTAAAAGCTTTTTAATGCCTCATTCTGGAAGCAGATGCAGAGACCACAGTAAAGTCTCTCACCTAGATAACTCGCAGCATTTAATCTATTTTTTGAGACTCGTTTTTTGTGTGCATCATCTCCTGTTGTTAAAGATGGTTTGAAATAGAAATGTACCCAAGCTCCATGGGAGAGAAGCCTGAAGTGGCATCCATGGTTTGTTTTGCTTTATTTTTTCTGTTGAGAATCAAAGCTGAACACAGAACCCAGGAAGTAGAGCGGCATTTTTCTGTTAACCAGACTCCAATTTTCTAGTAGCAGGGGAAAGCTGATCTTCATTATAAAGCCAACACATAAGTGGCAAGGCTTAAGCGTTCTAGTTTAGCCATGATGAACTCAGGAAGAGATTAGGCAGTCACATGGGCAGCTTCCAGAGAAGCTCAGCATCCCCTTATAATGGGGACCATGCTTTGGTCCTTAGTGCAAATTAGAGCTGCATATTCTCATTCTCCCAGGATAAGTGAGGTGGGAGACCAGAGAAGAGCTGGATGCCAGCCATCTCAGTGGAATATCTCAAAGCATACTAGGAACATCGGTTTTGTGTTGGAGTAAAGCAACTAGAACAAGGCTGGAAGTATGATACTAGAAATTATGACCATTTCGTCAGGTATCTAAAAGCAGCAGGTGACTGATGTGAGTGGAAATGAGACAGATTGCTACAGCCAGATCTCTGTATAAATACATTGCAGTATCAGGACAAACCTCATTGCATGCAAAGTTGACCACTTCTGTAAAAATCGGGGCTGTCCCATATTCCACAGAAAGCTTCTCTGCAGCTCAGAGATTAGGGCATTGTGGTTTTGATTTTAACAGAGGTAGCATTGGTAAGCCTCTCCTCCATGGACCCTGAATCAGGTACTGTGATGCTGCTAATGTTATTTTTGCTTCTTTCTCTTCATATAAAGATAAACTGCTTTTCAAGTGAAATTTCAATTCGTCTCTAAGGTTCTCAGTATAGTATCAGTACAGAATTCTGTGAAATTTTCAGCTTAATGGAAATATATTTCCTTGTATTAGTTTTGAGATAAGTTCTGAGTTCTACCTAGTGCGTGAAAGTATTACCTCCCATAAAGAGCCACTTTTCCTTTCTAGTAGCTTTTGCACACCGCAGCACAGAAACTCTTGAGGTAAAAGCCACTGAATGTAGGTAAAGTGTCTTCCGCAAGTATTTGTATTTGCGTGTATGAAGTGCAAACACACACACACATACATGCATACACATAACATCACTCAGGCTGACAACGGATGTACCTAGAAATATTCTCCAGCACCGCCGCACTCGGTTATGTGGTTCTTCCTAGAAATAAAAAAACAAAATTTTGATCAGTTTTGTGTGTATAAACCACCAAAGGAATGAATGGTTTCTTCACTTTCTACCTTACAGTTGATGCAAAATCTTCCTTTCTTCAAATCACAAATGTTTTAACATCAAAAAGGAGAGCTCACGATCTGAAATAACAGCTTGATAGTGGGTGCTATGTGTGATCAGGACTTGTCTCTACTATAAATAGGTATTTTTTCTTGATGGTTTAACTAATGAAATAGGAAGGACTATCTTTACACTTTTCAGGAAGCAGCTAATTGTGCATTCCTCTGAAGCTGAGACAAATTTAAGTAAAAGGATAAAATTGGTGCTACCATGTGCATTTCATGAGACTCATAGCACTCAGAAGGATGTTGTCTATATGTATTAAACTTCTGGTCAAAAAGTGAAGTGCTTTCTAAAATCCACCAGAGTAGTTTGGTTCACTTTTACTGTAAAAGGAAAACTATTTAATGTTTTTATAAAAAGACAAAATATAACTGTCTTTGTCTAAGAAACATTCTCACCAGCGATACCTACATCTGTGATGAACTGCAAACAGCTACATAGTAGTGAAAGAACCACTACTCAAAAAAAGGAATAAAATCAACATAATTACTCAGACTGATGCTATCCCTGGGAATATTGTATAGTGTAATGATTATTACCTGTCTCCGTTTACACTTAACAATGATCCTAGGTCTTCAGAGAGAGAGTCCAGGCTTTCTCTGTAAACCCAGAATGCTCAGTGAATATTTTAAGGACAGTGTTAGGAAAATACAGTGAGGCA